ATATATGTATTGCATTACTCATCGTTCGTTGGGATGGTAACTTATTCTCATATTATATTTAAATAATGTATTTTTATTATTTCTATTGCGAGAGGCATCGTTCCGTTCCTTGGCCCGTTACGCGATATTAAGTTGTGTCAGCCGCTTTTCAAGTATGCATTGTTATTATAATATATCCACTTACATTACCCGGATCTATGTTGCCTTACGTCGATTTAAACTCTGCTAGGATGTCCTAAGCTTTTTCATGGAACCTGCACATAATAAATGTGAGCATGTACACACACACGCATAGATATATACTCTGGCACCGACGTATCGTAAAATTATACACAAAAACCAGACAGGATGCCGCCGCCGATGGAAAATAATACAAAAAAACGGAGGAAAAAGCTGAACGGTGTTATTTAGAACAAGCTAAAAAAATAATTGTAATAATTATAATGATGATGATGAAGAATCTGCTTACAAATAATAAATAAAATGGAATGATATAATTAGAACTGATGCGACATAAGTAATCGTTTTCGGGCAAAATGCGGGTGTGGGTGCGACGTAATTAAAACAAAAGTAGAGCTCAATTGGGTATGGCGTTGAGATCTGTTGACGACGTATAAGCAGTCCTTAAATACCTAAAATCAACCTAAAATAATTTTTAGTTAGCTGAGAGATGACATGCGGAATCCTTGATCTCGATGTGGTATTTGTCAACTATTAGCTTTTATGAACCATTCATTTAGTCGTAGTCGTTCTCTCTCAAGGCTAGCGCTTACCAACAAAGGGCAAACTCAACGGAGTACAACCCTAACAATAACATCCCATGAGCCCAGGTGGAACGCTGAACGTTGCAGCATCTGTCCTTACTAGCCATTTCATAGCCCGCTCGAGGAGACTAATTCCATTTGTTGTATTAAAAACCGACTGGTAGAAGTATCTTCACACAGACAGCCATGCAATAAGTACTAGAGTAGACTGCTACAGGTATTAAAATTGTCTCTGCGGTCATTTTATAATAAGGATAGTCCCAAAGGGTTTTATTACGACTGTGCCATCGTGTCACTTTTACTCCTGCTATCCGGGACGTAAATACGGCTTTGCAAAAAGCTCTAGAAAAGTACATCGTGAACGGCTTATAGAAGCAGAGTTTTCGACTTCCTACCCAGAATCTAGGTTCAAGCCGCTAGGATTCTGCGACAGCGGACAGTGATTTTAAATTTTTATTAATTAATGAATTTTAAACTTTAAAAATACTACCCAGGAAAACTAAACGCGAAGGTCAATGTTGATCCTCAGCGGGCCGTGAGATAAGCTGACCTGACCAGATTCGAATCTTACTGTGACCATAATAGAAGGAATACGACCTTTTTGCTTGTCGTATAAAAAAAGTGTCGTATAAAACGTGTGCCTGTACGCATTTTGATTAGGTTTTATTAAATATGAGTAAATACAAAATTTAACGCCGTACAGCTAAAAGTTACTTCAAGCAGTCCTTACAATTTCATCCTTCTGTCCCTAGATGTAATAGTCTAAAGGATTATAGAGCTAAACTAACTCGGTCGAATTAGGTTTCATGTGCTGGAGTTGAACCTAGAGCTACATTAGAATCAGCTGACGTAGATAGAGTTTAACTTTTTTTTTTTTTTAATTAAAACTGCCTAAGTCTGACTTAATGACGACGACGAATCTAAATTAAATTTCCGTTGAGACGTAATAGTATATTTAGTTAGCGAACAAAATACGAAGGGTTCGCCGAGGGTATAGAATAG